AGGTCAGTGAGAGCAGGCTTTTTAGACGCTAATCGTAGGAAGACCTATTGATTACCAGGTGTCTGATTCCTCTCAGAGAAATCGCGTCTCAAACCCGTTTTTGATGCAGAGGTATTGCTGAGATAACAGCCGAGAGCTGAACTACGAATTGCTGTTATGGAATGAACTACTACTTTTTGATATGCCATCAAAATCGCGAATCATCAACAACTCTTCAGAAAGCCGCTGTTCATTTTATGAATAAAAAGTACATATGGGGATCTAGACAAGACGTCCGTGTAACTTCCAATTTTCATTCAATTCCATTAGAGTTGTGAAACATCTACCAAATATCCTCAGAATATCCCTGACAGTGCATGAGAAGCAAAATCCTTCTTCTTTAGTAAGCTTGTGTAATTTGTCTCCGTAGAGTTCAACATATAGAAACGTACCACTTCCGTGTCAGCGACGACAAGCTCACATCCACCATTAGGATCGTCGCAAAGCGTCAGCCAACAAGGTTTCCACGCTTTTTCTTCACGGGCTGCAAACAAAGAACTTAAAAAAACAGCGGCATTGTGAGAAGTTACTGCGGTACTGTTGCTATACCGCGTAGTAAAGTGGTAAAATGAGTTGTACAAAGAGTGACTGAAGTCGCGCTCATACTCTGACAAGGGAGGTCGTTCAGGCCGTGGTGAGCTTTTTCAAAACGGTTTGTTGCATGTTGTAGGGGTCCATACAAGGACCACACAGATGGGTTTCATTTTTGCTAAACGCTATTGGGAATGTCAAAAAAGGAATAAAAACAAATCGCTTAAAATACGCAAGTTTTATCATCTCATTCGCATCTGTTTCAGCTGTAAAGCAGAATACATAGAGTTTATAAAGTGTTTCTCAACTAGACATGAGAAGTGCTTACTTTGCATACAGTGAGGTACACTGCAATTTCTTTAGGGGTTTATGCAGCATCCCTTCGCGCTCGCAGTGGCCTTTTAGCGCCACGCTGGCCCCAGATCACGTCGGCGCCATAAATAATTGTCAGAATCGTGATCAGGGCCATTGATTACCCCTATTTAATGACCATTTGGATGGCAGTGACAGGCGAACCCTCCATTGAGTATCCTCTCTGGCATACAAAACCAGAAATTTTTCATTTCTTGCACTCTCAACTTCAGTAGGTTTACATAGAACACCGTGCTGGCTTCGGAGTCATTAAACGAGCATCCTGAAACTTTCTCCACTTTTACCGTCTTCGACAATTTCGACAAAGAACTCGTTACCACCTGCCCGGAAAAAAGATCTTGTTTCTCCCATATCAAAGGTATTAGTGGTGTGCAGTGTATGTGCCTCACTTTTTTGTGTAGTTGTTAATTCTCGTCTGCATACTAACAAATGAAAAGCCCCTCTTAACGATGTTGAATAATGACTCTTTAGGGGGGGGGGGGGAACTGATAGCCACTAGCTGGAGACATGGCAGGCATCATAACACAAAAAACTCGGAAAAAATTTTTCCGGCGTAACTCTATACGTAGGGATAGTTCATGGTCCTGATCACGGTTCTGACACTTATTTTTGGCACGGAGGCCATCTGGGACCAGTATGGCGCTAAATAAGCCCCGCCGCGCAGACTGACAATGATGCTAGTACGAGAAAGCCTTTGCACCAAATTGGCGACACATTGCGCCATATTTGAAAAGTGTCATGTTCATGATCAGAGCATCGGATAACCGCCGTAACCCAAGTTTCATAGAGAGTTCTTCGATAGTATTTCGCGAGCGTAATAATTGAGTGAGGCCAAGTTGTGAACCGTTCCCGCATGGAATGTGTCTTTAAATGGCGTATATCCGGGTCATACACATTATGGGGCATACAGGAATACAAGATGCAAGAAATCTGAAAAATGCAAAAAATGTCCCACCAGGGATCCGTCCATAACCCACTCGAATGAGAGCCGTCACGCTCTCCACACCCTTTGCGCACGGCGCGAATGGGAAATGCAGGACGCCGAGAAGCAAAGCGCAATGACTGGAAAACTCCAATGCGCTCACCACATGCCAAGTAAAGCATTTGGATTTCGACCTTATTTTTCGCTGTTTTTCATGCCTACTCAAAGGATACCCTACATACTATACACTGTCAACGCTACAGCTAGAATAGAGGGGAATAAGGTGGTTTAAAAAGCCCATTCTTTTCGAATTATTTTTGACCTTTTTTGACATTCCCAGTACCGTTTAGCAAAAATGAACCCCATCGCTATGGTCCTCGCATGGACCCCTACAACATGCAACAAACCGTTTTGAAAAAGCTCACCACGGCCTGAACGACCTCCCTTGTGAGACACCGAAGATTCGGATCATCTCGCAACTGGGAAGACCGGAGAATCCGTTAAAAAGAAGGCACGGTCCTGTTCGCGGCGGATGCCGGACCTGTCAGAGTAGTCGCGTCTGGTCGCGTCTTATGTTTCTTTTTTGCGGATTCTCCTGTTCTACGCCTGTCGGAATCATGTGATGAACCCTGGCCTGGTACCAAATCACATAGCTTCCAAATCTCATTTCTTAAAGGCCTGAACCGCAGCCACTGTGTGGGCAGGCACAGTTCGTGATTGACGTAGTCATCAGTTGCCTCTATTGATGTCGCATTAGGGGACCAATCTGAAGTCGTCATTGAGGCAGGCTGAGTTGCATCATTCTCGGCACTCGCACGACGTGATGACGATGACGATGGAAGAACAGCGTGCGTTAGACGCACATCACTTGCGATAGGATGGACACAGTACCTGTAGCAAAAGTGAATTCATAACCCGTACGAATCACAAGGCTGCGTTCAACTTTGCGTCAGTGTATGCAGCATACACCAGCGTACAGCAGCACTAGCAATCAGGGAACTATAGGTATCGATCTAGCGAACGCCAGCGTCCACCAGCGTTTACTGGCGTTCAGCAACATTTTCAAGAGCAGTTCAGGGCACAACATTGGTTGGGGATTTCGGTCGAGTCCGTACGACCCCCCCTTTTTTTGGGGCTGGAGTTGGCGGGGGGTGGTCGTACGACTCCCCACCCGTCCCTTTGCTCCCTCCATCATCGCAGCTTCGAGCGGCGGAAAGCGGAAGGGCGAGAGAGCGGCGGGGGGGGGGTGGGTAAATAGCACATGTGAAACGGGAAGTCGCGAGAAGAATACGACCTCCTCCCTTCTCTCCCTTCTCAATTCTCAGATTTTCCCCACCTTCCTGCCACTTTTCCAAATGTTTCTGTTCTTTCTTTTTTTTCAACGTCCGTGAAACAAGAAAAACCAACTACCAACACAAGTTTTCCTCAGCCCAACTACGACCCCCTTCCCCGTTGTTGTGGGGATACCCGTTGTTGTGGGGATTCCCCAACAACGATGTGTTGCCCTGGAGCACTTTGCCTCAAATTCAAAGTGCCCTGCGAAATGGCTGCTGTGCGGTGAACGCTGGCTTTCGCTAGCATCACCACTATGGGCTGCGCAAGTCATCTACCAACACGCCAGACACTACTGCGGGCCCCGCCCCCTCGGCCACGCCCACTTGCTTTTTGCGGAATTTTGATATTTTTTCAAAATTTTTGCATTTTTGGACTGCTGCGTGAAGCCCCGCCCACTGTTGGAGGCTCCGCCACTTTGCGTGAAGCCCTGTCCACTTTTTCAAAAATGGTGTAAATCGGCAGTATAGGGTCTTGGCTTTCATGCTAGGGTCTCGTTCGTCACTCGGAACAAGAAAATCAGGCAAAGTTTGTTCCGAGTGACGAACGAGACCCTAGCATGAAAGCCAAGACCCTATACTGCCGATTTACACTATTTTTGAAAAGTGGGCGGAGGCTTCTCCAAAAGTGGGCGGAGCCGTCGGGGCTTCACGCAGTGGTCCAAAAACGCAAAACTTTTGAAAAAATATCAAAATTCCGCAAAAAGCAAGTAGGCGTGGCTCAGCGGCGGGCGGGCCCGCAGTAACGTGTCCGTCCGTGATTTGGTAGATGACTGCGCAAGCCTAATAACCGTGCGGCTAAAATCAGATTTGGAAGTGTCGGGTGACATTTTGTTTTGAAAAGGGCGGTGAATTTGCAATTTGAAAAAGGGCGCTGTGAAATTTGGTTGAAAAGGGGTGAAATCGGTTTGAAAACGGCCTGGGTGAATTTGCGTTTGAAAAGGGTGAATTTGGTTTGAAAATAGGTGAATTTCAAAGTGAAAATGGAATATATACAATCCTGGTCGCTGGCGCTGGCCTACGCTCAAATCGCTGCCGTAAGTTGACGCAAGTATGTATGAATGCAGCCTGAATATTCTAATTGACAGTACGACATCATATTTGCTCAAAGAAAGTTCCAAGGCCACGAGACAAATCACAAATTACAAAACTACAAAAGGCTGGGACACCACTAATTGAATGTTAACTACCCAAATGGTGTCGTTTGTCTACCGTTTACTTCCATTCCTAAACGGTATTTGTTCAGAATCGAACCCTAACGCTTTCAAGATTCAACAAGAATTTCCAAGATTTGACACGAAAATAATCAATGTACCTGTCTATAATATGCTGTAGTGAAGGGGGAAGTGACGTCCAAGCGATGGAGAAACCATACATCTTGCCTCTGCAGCACTGCGAATTAAAATTTCTCTATTTTGTTACGAGTATTCAGCCAACAAAGCGAAAGCGTCTGCTCCTTGACTTGATGTTCGCACGAGGAACGCACCAGCGCCTACTGAACAGAGAAAACCAACTAAAGTCAGAATTAATATGCAAGTACTATCAGTAATCATCTACTCGGACCAAGAAAGGTCAATAGGTCAGCTCGGCCATTTCCAATGAGGTGCACACCGTTGTACGCGTCATCAGACAGTGAACTCAAAATTTGCCTTTAAAATTTGCCGAACGATTCCTGAACGGAGTTATGAAGGGAATTAATCCCGCGTATTTCTTTTACATGCTAAGAAGCGCGAAGAAACGTGGAAGCGTGCTTACATATGCCTAGACAGTTATTGTGAAACGTGGCAGTAGAAAGAACAACAGGTAGCGAGTGGGTCCTCCAGGGGTCGTGGGATGGTTCTCGTAAGCTCGCGCATTATTGCTTTTTTCAAGATCATGGCAAATAAAGCTCCTGACATCTCTGCTCGCCTGCACTAGCCTGTAAGAAAACTCCAACTCCAACTTTTTCTTTTGGTAGTGGTAGACCATTGCGGCCCCAAAGAGTGCTTGTGTTGCTTCCCTCACAACACATGGTCACAAAAGTTGCCAACGACAATAGTATGACATTCACGTTCAGTGGGTCCAGCCTACCTTTGGTTGGCAAGTTTTCTGCCAAACTCTGATGTTCGCGACCTAAATTCGGCGAAATGCTGGGCCCTATTCTATGAGCAATTAGCAGCAGACTGGAGCTCACCTACCATGACTACTCTCGGGATGGAGTTTCCTCCCGGTAATCAGAGGGATGATGCAGACGGCATAAGTGAGCCAGAAATTGTTCTTCGCGAAAAGGCATAACTGAGGAGTTATTACATTCCGAAAGCCAGTCATCACCGGTAAGCTAGTGGTAGTGTCGCTGCTGGCTACCCGTCAGCAATGGCTAAACTAGCACCATTTTTTTCGTTGCGTCGGAATCTCACATTTCGCTAAGGTGACGTGTCTAGGGGTTATTTGATCCCCTGAACACGAATATGATACCTATTTTGACGAATAACATTGTGTGTCGCGCTACAGATGCCAACGCCCCAGCGCCAGCGCGTCTCGAAGAGGGAAAGCAGTAGAGAAAAACCTCCATGACTCCGCTCACAGAATCCTCCCGCGAATTTTGAGTATAGTTTTGAGTTCACCATCTCGAAGACGAGTACAGCGATGTGCACCACATCGCCGACCGGGCTGACCTGCTGACCTTTCCTGGTGAGAAGGTGAGTACCAATAAGCACGAAAAAAAAAACTAAAATATAACGGTAGATGTTAAGCCGGACAACGAACTTGAAAATGTCTCAGTTGATGCACTGATAATGAGGTGCAATAAAAGAGGACCGAACAATTCGAATGTGATCGTTATTCACCGAGCAAAAGGTATTCAGTAACCAATTTCCAACTAAGTTACTACACTTCACGCCATACGCTGACGATTCATCAGAGGTAGGTGGGGAGAGGGGAAGTTTACCAACGCAATGCCCAGGTTGCAGAATAACCAGACCTAGCCTTAAGACAACGATTTGAAACGATTCAAAAAAATTACGTTCATAAGGAAATGTCCATGCTTGCGATGTGAAGAGTTCACGACAAAGTTTTGTATGGAGACAGTTCGACTGACTCACCCACTACCGTTTTTGAAAAATTGGTGGAGCCGACTAAGTCAATTCCCACTTAGCTCCCATTCTGCGAAATTGCGCATTTCCGCGTTTGCAAAGTATGAACGAGGCCTCAACGAAAGAACATACTCTATGTATCTGGAAAAGACAGCACGTGACACGTCTACGCTCTAGGTCTACGCTTTTGGCTGCAAAGCAATCAAACTACGTAGGAACCGTACTTTAAAGCACTGCATATTCAAGAGGGAAGCTAATGGAGTGAGAGGACAGGTGAAGCTGCACTGCCTGTGCTATGCGGGCCAGGCTGATTCTAAGCGGGGGGAGGGGGAAAAGCTGTCTTGATGAGAAGGTGCATGCTCGCAGGCTTGGTTATGCACCTGCCAGACTAGCGGCCACGGCTCTCGGGACTAATTATTGTCATCCCATCCAAAATGTGGAAGGTTTCACTCCTATAAAACGAAAGGAAAACATAAAAAAGTAATATTTTAACTTTAGGTCAAGTAGATCCCTCCTTCAACCGCTCCCAGTGCCCCGAAAGCGTTTGGACCACTACCTTCGTTTATTTTTCAACAAGTGCGCGTAAGTTGCTGTTGACGTCAATTTCGGTGAATGACAAGAACCTTGTAGCTTTTGCCGTCGCAGTACCTTTGACTGACCAGGACAGTTGAAATCGCACGGTTGTAAGGGCGAATGATGCGATTAAACCCAGGTCTCAGTATTGTTTGTGTCCCAGCACTGCCCTATAATACATTAGTCGAGGTCTGGTACTGTGACGAGTAATGGTGGCCTTCTTGTAGCTGTGTGCTACCATCCACGTCGATCTGATTGTCGAGGAACAGGCAATATACACCGACAGCAACGATTTTGTTATCTTCTCTGTATAGAGCCGCTTGAAAGCCACAGCGCAGAAATCCTTCGCTATGATGATCATCCACTTGGCCCTACGTAACTCCTTATGGCAGAATTCGAAAAAGAGCCTATGACTTTTGGCTAGGAGTTCAAGACCACCCATATTTCATCTGGGGCCGCGCTGCATTTTCACAGTCGTGCGGAGAACGTTACTGCTATAAGCATAGAATCGGTACTGCGTTCGTGCTTCTACAAGAAAATTAGGTACCCATGCGCACACCCTCTTGACCATCCTCAGTTTATCGGACATAACTCGGGCAGCAGTTGCAGCAGGGATGTCAGACTCGCGGGGAAGCTCGACAAGGGTCCAGCCTCTGTGATCAGACATTCAGCGCTTGACTTCATCCACCCTTTTTCTTGTGCAATATGAACATTATGGGACCATCCACGACAACAAAATTTTTTCCTTTCTTCATCTTCCGGTGAACCAAATCTTCCACCTTGGATTTCGAGAACACCATTACACACAACTACTGGTCCGGCACAGGTCAAATTTGAGCAGGCGCACTTTTCTCTTATGACGCCTAAATCGAAAAAGCGGTGCTGCTTTTGCCCCCCCCCCTTCGGGCTCTGTTTGAATTTCTTGAAAACTTCTTCTGTGGCTAGATTTGCCAATTTTACAGATACATACACTCTAGTTCGCTGCGGATGGTTGGGCGTGTCAGCCAGTAAGGGTGTGCACAGCATCAAGAACGTTCTCTGCCTTCTTGCTGAAACGCACATGCGACAAAAAGTGGTAGAAAACGAGTAATACGAACGATATGATACAGTATTGTCACTTGCCAGCTTCAACAACTGGTGGAGAACGAGTTTGGCACCGCACTGGCACGCCCAACCGTCCGCAGCGAACTACACTATACGGCATGGTATTAGCTTCCAAATGGTATGTGTTGCGCAGCCTATCCCATTTGCTTTCGTGCAGTTCCTCCATATGTCTCCAAATTTTTGAATGGGATGACCTAATACCTCAGCACGCGAACGGCTTGAAAGGAATTTTGTAAAAAGAAAGCTAATGTGTCTCAAAGAACATCCAAAGGAGTAAAGAATACGTTGTTGAATTAAGGGACTCACCGCATGTCAGCATTTTCAATGCCTCTGTTGTTAGAACGGAGTGGAAGTAAGGCAGTTCTTGTACAGACAGCGATTCCGATAACTGAAAATTGGAACTAGCATACTGTCATACTCAACTCGTGCTTCTTTATAAACGTGAGAAAGAAAAAGCCAATGGATGACACGGCAGGAGCATTTTCAAGAGAAATTGAAATCATTTTCATCCATTTTCTGAATTAAATAATAAAGTCGCGCCTTAATTCTGGTAGGTTATACTTATCCCCTCCCCGTACGTAACGGAACTTTCGCTAATACAATTCTAAGGGGAATAAAGGCACACCGACCATAGCAACTCACGCCAAATACTACTAATATATTACAGAAATATATAAATATCGAAATTGTACAGTTTCCATGACAGCAAGACGACTGCCTCCAAGTGTTCTGGTCACACAAGCAGACTCTCAACAGAAAAGATGTATAAGGTAGAACAATTCCCGATCTTAGCCACCCTCCCCCACCCCCTCCCCTCTCGTACGAAAGGAGGAAAGTAGTATAACGACGAGACGGGAAAGTAGGCGAATGGACCAGGAAAGAGAAACATACTGATCAATATGATTCTTTTTTATTTATGGTGATGTCATTCGACAATCTATCACTCCAAAACTAGTTTCCAAAGCGTATGGTACGAAAATGTAAAGAAAACGGACCTAACCCGGAACTTCTGCAACAGTACAGTTATTGAAACAGGTGAGAGGATAGGGACACTGAAAAAGTCCCTACTGCCAACTGGGGTATTTTCATCCACATATAAGTGCTGCCCTTCGAATTAATTCACCAACCCTGGGGATCCACCCCCTTCAGCTTAGGAAAGTCCTGACATCTATTGCGAGAATTCCAGCTTTACAGGTGTTTCAGATGTTTCCTACTGTAAAGTTATTAGTCCTGAAATAAGCCTGCAACTTGTACTTGTAAGGACCGTATTCAGGTCAAAGCGGGAGCATCCCACTAGACGCATTTTCCAAGGCTTATCGGGGATCAGCTCAGGGTACGTCCTGTCGGAAATTTTCGCATAAGACGACCCTAGCTCTCAGAATCTCCTCTGGTACGATCCCCGCCCCTTGTTCCCCATCGTACCTACCTAAATCTACACAGCTATCCAGATTTTTCTTCCAGATCTTCCCAAAACTCCTCCTTTAGTTCCCCGAGAAACTGCCGTTGTGCGAGGCCGTTGTGCGGGTGGGGCGGGATGACCGGGGAGCTGGAGAGAGGTTGATATAGTACCTTGAAACACGAAAACTCAGAAATCAAGAAAAGCCAAACACTGAAAGCACCCGTCCAGCG